CTGCTTCTCAGATTTACTAATGTTTCTTTAACTCTGTCCTTGGCATTTATTTTCTCATTCGCCTTCGTAGCTGCTAATTCCAGTATATTTAGATCTAATTTAATTGCTTTCTTCATTTTTTATCGAACTTTCTCCTGTGTAAATAGCTAAGAACTCTTCGCACCCATCGTTCAGTATCTCTTTCTTGTAACCCATCCTAATATTTTATCTTACTGCTAGCTTCCCTGCCCTCGAAGGAGGACCACGCCATATTACCCTGTACACCTTGGATCGGTGTTTTACCATTTGCTCCCAGAGCCTATCTAGGTAGTTCCTATTCCCCGTTGCTTTAATTTTAGCCTTATCTTGACGTACAGTACAAATGCACAAAACTGCATTTGTAAAATGCCAGGCTTGGAACCATAGCTACTTTATAGATTTCCCTAACCACCTCATACCTGTTACAGTTCTACTCTGATCTATTTATCATTACAACTACAGTTCTGTTGCCCATACCAGTTACACATTTCGCATGTTCATTGTTATATTCTGTACCCTCATTAATAAATACTCATGGATTCTTCTATTTACCGCTTGCTTGACATTTAGTCCTTGTATCTTTAGCTTTCCAATTCCGTTATCATTGAACACCATGAGTGTTGCTTTGTCACTACTCAAATCTCAACCCAATCTGTGGCCCACTGCGCCAAATATATTTATTAGGGACTGAAGATCTATGTTGCTATTGGCCATTGGCACTATATCATCAGCATGCGTCTGACATGGTAATGACTGCTTCATTTTCTGACCTTGACCGCGCACCCTGAGGCCCCTGTATAAGAAAGGTAGCGATTTTTCCTCCCTCGCCCTCTTTTTTCTCTCTCGCCCTTGCGCGTCGACGGTGGCGCCGCATGGATTGCTCCCAGCTAGCATACGCTCTCGCTTGGATACAATGCGGCGGAAGGTTGTTTCCGTTGGTTTTTGTGTTTCACGATTGCATTTCTGTCGTGAGTCCTACAGTTTAACGCGTAATTGACTACAGAGACTTTGGACATATCAACAGAACGACTTGACGGCCTGGGGAACGCGAACTAGAGCAAAAAGAGGCACGTTATGCGAGAATGGTCTGCGCTACTATGCTGCTGGAGCGAGGCTCTGTTTCGGTCCTGCGTGAGCAAAGCCGCCGGCTACGTGCAGCAGCGAACGTTTGTATCTTGCACAGTGACTTTGGTCCAACTGAAGGCAGTGCTTTTTTTTATTACCGCACGCGTGCCCCAGACAGAAAAAAGGGAGATCACACGCTCGGCTTTTTTTTTTTTTTCGGCGCTTCGTAGGGGAGGCACGACGCGACACGTAAGCACGAAGCGATTGCTGTTTTTTTTTTCCACAACTGAAGAACTTTTTTTAAAGCGACTGTACTTCGCCTCACCTTAACATGGACCAACCACAGAGGCTACAGACGTCTGCGGGCAGCTTCGAGTCGGGCTCGCGCTGCACGAGCGTTGACGTTTGCGGTTAGTTCATGTTAAGCGGAGATTCCTGTGGTCTATATAATAAAAAAAGTTTCCCTTTCTAACGATACCCGTCGTTGGCGTGCGCAACGTGTCGTAGTAGTTGAACAAAAACGGTCTACTAATATTTGATGCCCATTGCAGTAAAGGCGCGGCTGGGAGCCTTCACCCTATACGCGGCATAACAAAATCGAAATACTCTGCAAAAAAAAAATCTTACCAGAACGAGCGAAAACCCGAACTATCCGCTAACACCTAAAACATTTGAAAGCTTTGTGGTTTTGAAAAATTCTTGTGTGTACTTTGTTTTTACCAAAGACATTGTAAAGTTACTCGGCTTATAAGAGGCAGGACATTCTCTCTTCAGAGCAGGGCACCCTTCATGGACTGTCGTTTTCCCAACTAAAATACTATTATTTTATTTATCAAGCCATGCCATGAAAAAATCTTGTCTTTTGAAAGCTTTTCTTTATTATTGCAAATAACCACCACACAGGCCTTCAAGTTCTGCTACCAGTGGCTAAAAAAAAAGACTAAAACAAATATTAAGTCGCAGGTAATGCATATTATTATTTCACAACACACCAAATCACGAGGACTACAGAGACAGGTTATTAAGGCCACTTCACACAGTTACGCTTCCCTGCGCTAAGACCGCTTGTGAGGGTCTGAGTCACAATTGTAAGAGGGTTATACTAATCCTGTTACAATCTAACTCATGCTGTCTCAAGGGGTCGCATGTAGCACAGCGAAGTGCAACCATGTGAAACAGTCATTAACTTGTCTATGTAGTCCTTTAGAAGCTCCACCTCCAGGCCAGCACTAGCTTCCGATTTTGATAGCAAAAAGCTTGCGCAGCGAAATGATGACAGAGGGCAACAGGTGTGTGCTAAAGACGTAGCTTCTGCTTCTACTGCCCTCACTGGCAAGGTACATGAAAACATCAAGGCGCATATACTAGGAGTTGAATCTCAACCATCACACAGTGAATGACTAGCTTGAACAAAAGTCAACGGCAAGATACATAAAAATATTAAGGCCCGGATACAAAAAGTTGAATCCCAAGCTACAAAAAAGTGAATAATTGGCTTCCACAAAACTCAACAATGAGACACATAAAAATATTAAGGCACAAACTCTAAAAGTTCAATCTCAACCATTAGAAAGTGAGCGACAAGCTTGCACAGACGTCAACGGTAAAATACATAAAACCATTAACGCACAGACTCTAAAAGTTCAACCTCGACTATCAGAAGGTAAATGACTAGTCTGCACAAGAGTCAATGAAGATATACAAAAGATATTAAAACTGGATGACTATGTTGCACTAAAGTCAACAGCAAGACACGTAAAAATATTAAGGCACGTTAGAACTTGAATCCCAGCTATCAGAAAGTGAATGACTAGCTTGTACAAACGTTAACGATAATACGCATAAAAAAATTAAGGCGCGGATACTAGAGGTTGAATCCCAGCTATTACAAAGTGCATGACTTGCTTACACAAAAATTCAACGGCGAGAAGCCTAAAATATTAAGGCACAGATGCTAACACTTGTGTTGTGGCTATCACAATAAATGACTAGCTTGCACACGGCGAGATACGTGAAACTATTTGGCACACACGCACTAAAAGTTGGATCTCATCTACCGCAAATGAACTACTAGGTAAAGAGGTCAACAGCGAGATACATAAAAATAATAGGCACCACCCATACTAAAAGTAAGTCTCGGCTAGCGCAAATGAATGACTTGGCTCAAAAAAAGCCAACGACGAAATATATTATTATTTTGAGGTACATAGACGCACACTGGAAGTTCAATCTCAGCTGTCGCATATGAATGACTAGCTAGAGAAAAAGTGAGATCAGAATAAGAAAGCAGTCAGCTACACTGCTGTGTGGAGGACAGAGGCTCCACAAAATTGCAACGAGGCTACATTGGCTCTGATTGTGGTAGCATCACAACATGCATGATGCTTTTACACTTAGCTTCTGTTGGCTGTTCTTACGAGGTGCAGTACAAAGGGCAGCATGTGCCCGCAAAAACACCCTCAAAACTTCACTTAAATGAGTAGTGCCCTCAGTTATGCCACCAATTACTTTACCTTTCTGGTCGCAACCTGCTTGCCGATGCTGCGACTGCAGCATTTTACGCCGGCTTTTTTTCAGAGATACGCTGGTTTTCTTTGCGAAGAAGAATGTGCATTCTGGTCCGCAAGAACACCCTCAGCAATTTAGTTGCAACGTTGTGGCAAGCAGGAAAACAGTTTACAAATGTTACATTCTGCACGGCAGAAGCCTCCAGCTGAGCAAGAGTGATTTCATCGTGTAAAAGTTTATCACTATTGGTCCGAAATAAACTCTCTGCTGTTTCCCAAAACTGGATAACTGCAGGCGAAGGCAAAGAAAGCCTAGTTTCTTCTGTGTAGGACTTAAGCCGTGTCAATGTACTAGCCTCCTTGGATGTTATTGCAGCGATGCACTCACTACAGCTGGACATGTTTTGTTTTACGTTGCTCACTGCGTAGCCAGCAAGGTAGTCAAAAGACCCTTGCTCTGTTTCACTTGGCATTAGAATGTCGTCAGGAAACTCAACAGCTGCAGTGTCGACAACCTGTGTAGCCTTTCTAGATCATGCGTCTAATCCAACAAGAGAAAACCCGGCATCATGGGCATAACTACCATCTTTGCTAGGCCTTAAGAATTGCGCCATTGTTGCAGCCCTGATTGCGCAGCGGAACTCATATGGCTTGGGCACTGGATTGTTCGTCCGAAGAGCAGAAAACAGGTTTTCTAGTGCGTCTTGTCCGAACCGGCCAAGTAGCGCACAAAAAATCCCTTGGTGTTGAGCTAGTAGTCTTGGAGTTCTAGGGCAACTGTGGTGACCAATATGATGCCGGTCTGAACTGGCTTCCAGGCATGCTTGTCATCATCGAGATCAATAATTTCTAGGCTTTCAAAGAGTCGAATTGTATCTTGTAGGAACAAGACTGTGTCGTCATACTTTACTTCGTTAAGTTTGCTGATGGCAAGCTTTGTTGTTCAAGATGTCATTATCTTAAACCACTTGAATACCACCTCAATGAACCAAGCAGTCGTGAGGGCATCCTGTGGCATGTCTCCTCTTTGAACAAGGAAGCGCAAAGCTGCAGCAGTGTCATGATTGAGAAGCGAAAAAGCCAGCCCCACTTTCATTTTTTCAAATATCCTGGATCCAAGCACGCTGGCTTCAGGTGTGGCGCGATGTTTAACTGAAGCTTGGAGTCGATCTCTGCAAGCTCCTTAACACGCGGAAGGGTTACCTCATTGGATGGCAGTCCATACTTTTTAACTACATCAGCCGGCAAGATGATCGATTGCCCACGAGTGAGGTGGTTACGCAAATTCTTTAGTAAATGTGGGACATCTACCATAAAGTACAGCCTTCGGCTTGGATCACAGGGGTGGGGACAAGAAACCCGGCTTCTGGAGTATTTGCAGACGACAATCCCGAACTGCCTCCAGATTCCTTAAATTCCACCTCCCATGTAGCAGACAATAGCATCCACTCTGAGACCAATTTTTTCACACTCTCGAAGAATGGAAAGAAGTGCCTCTTTGAGCTTTGTACTGCTGAAAGAATTTCCAGTGAAGTGGTACGCTATTGTCTGCTTCCAGCGAGTTGTCACATCCCCCAACATAAAAACAAAACCCTTCTTAGCCATAGCATCTTTTGGAAGAGCCCCATTTGCCAAGGATATAGTTGGCCTGCCGATTATTCTGCCGCTTGCCTGGTAGTAGGAAAGCCCGTGTTTGAGCTGGATCTCACCAAACATGAGAACAGCATGCCGCTCGTGGTCTTCCATGAGGCTCACCTACAATAGATGAGAGAACAAGTGTGAGATTCCGTAACCGGCATCATGCGTCATAGAGTGTAGACGGGAAAGATCTGAAAAAGGCCAGGTCGAGCGCCTTATCAGGCGTTCGATTTGCCTTTCTCATACTGCCATGGATGGTACATAGTATAACAACATCTGAATGTTTCGGATATCCTGAACAGGAAACGGGAACAGCCCATTTCATTTCTAACCCATCTGAGCTATTCTGGTCATTCTTAATGGTGTTAGTACTTAACAAAACAAGATTATTACCTCTAATAACAGATTAAGCATCTGCTGTTGCTGGAAAAGTGCTGGTAAAAAAAAAATTGGGTGAAATCAGGATGCTATATACCACACAAGATATTACTTATAGGTAACAGTAATATCAGGTTTTAATTTAAAACTACTGCAGAACTATATGTGTACAATTAGGTATGAAGTCACAATAAGCGATGCATCTACTCACTTTGACAGCGAGGGAATCTAATATCTCGTGCAATATGCCCGGTGCAAACTTGAACTTCTCGAGTTGTCTTTGCAAGGTTCGTTCAGCCGGCAGTGGTGTGCCAGTCTCTCTGACGACGTTGTACCCCCGGGATCCGCATGACAACCTCAGCTTCAATGCCTTCTCGATGGTTGGTGTCGACCACGGCGTCCCCTTCATCGTGGACGTTTCCATTCACTGCAGCTGGTCGGGCGCCAAAAACCGATTAACTTGCGTCCTCATGGCGTTCTTTTCTTGAAGAGCCTTGTTCTTCTCCCGCTGTGAAAGTGACAACTTCCGTTGTGTTCTGTGTAAGTGATCTTCAAGCTCCTTGATCCTTCTGTGGAGGGCAGCCACAAACTCCCAAGACATAGGCTGGTTTCTCACGGAGGACCCTGTTAAGCAACATATCCAAGTGAAGATGTGGCAGTAGGTATGAACTCGACATTGTATGTCACACAACATTAGAATGTGGCATAATGCAGGAAAATGGCATTGTATGTCGATCAACATGAGACGTTGCTATTTACCATCGACATCACTGTCCATGTCTCCGTCATGTGTAGTGGCTTCACTGTGTTTTGATGCAGTGCCTGCAGAACATAGGGAAAAGGAAGTCGTGAGACAGGATGCACAAATGGCCTCACACATGTTGCACTTAGCAGGGAGAAGCACTCACATTCGACATGAGCTGCGGCTGCAAACAGCATCTGGGGGCCATCGAGCCTTGCATCTAATGACGCAGGAGCTTCAGGGTCTGCATGAAGTAAGGCAAGTCGGTATGAATAGCAACACTGAGAAAAACGGCAAAGCATGCTTAGCGTCCTTTAAGGGCCCGGAGCAAAGTGCGTTGCCCTTACCCTGCCAAGAGCAGTGCGGCAGCTGGCCATCTGAGTCGCCACGTGGAGGAGCTGCAAGTGAAAGAACAAATGACAGCAACAATGAGCAGTGCACTCTCCGGAGAAAAAAGAAACTCGACAAACCCCACTCACAGTTGGCGTCTTGCGGAGCCGTTGTAGTGTGTGAAGGGGCAGCACAACCCATTCTGTAGTCCGATACATTGCCTGCACAGCATAGGGAGGGGTAAGTCTTGAGACTGGATGCACAGATAGCCTCACACATGTTGCACTTAGCAGGAAGGAGCACTCACATTCGACATGAGCTGCGGCTGCCAACAGCATCTGGGGGCCATCGAGCCTTGCATCCAGTGACGCGGGAGCTTGCGGGTCTGCATGAAGTGAGGCAAGTCGGTATGAATAACAACACTGAGAATAATAACGGCAAAGCATGCTTAGCACCCTTTAAGGGCCCGGTGCAAAGTGCGTTGCCCTTACCCTGCCAAGAGCAGTGCGGCAGCTGGCCACCCGAGTCGCCACGTGGAGGAGCTGCAAGTGAAAGAACAAATGACAGCAACAATGAGCAGTGCACTCTCCGGAGAAAAAAGAAACTCGGCAAACCCCACTCACAGTTGGCGTCCTGCATTGCCGTTGCAGTGTGTGAAGGGGCAGCAGAAGCCAGATTGTTGACCGTTGCATCGCCTGCAAAAAATAGGGAGAGGGCTGTCATGAGACGGGATAGAGAAATAGCCTCACACAGGCGACAATCCATGTTAATGTACAGGTTGGCAAATGAATTAAGAGTGTCATTGTAAATTAGTCGCTTTTTTCACACCTTCAAATTTCTCCTAGGTATTGATCTTTCAAACAGACTTCAAAGAATAACAGACATGTTTGTATTGAACAAAGAAAGAACCTGCTATGCTTTCATCTTACGTCTGGCAGGAGGTTTTCGAGGTGTTGGCTGCTTGCGGTGCACGAAAATGCTTGGGGCAGCGTCTGGTTTCAACTTTTTCACGCCAAATTTTGTAAAAACAAGTTGCTCGAAATGATCGTCAGTAACGTGAACCCACCCCCCCCCCCCCAAAAAAAAAAAAAAAAGTCACTCAGAAATTGCACACATATTAGGGGTTTTAGTAGACCGTTTTTCAGCTCCGATAATGATACTCAACTATCGTAATGTAAAAGCTGCCGACAAGTATACCACCCTAGCGCATTGTCGACTCGTACAAAAAGTATGGCACCTCTTTCGGACTCCAGCAGTTTTAAATTAACGACGTACAACCGAAAACACTCGTGGTTTATGGTGTGTTGTGTAGATGAAATGCACGGATATTGTTGAGTACTCGGCGTCACGCTAAATATCAAGCTATAGGCTGCTGTCCGTTCACGTAATAATAAATAATGGTCCACGTGCACGTAACATCTAGCATTCCCGCCGGTTTGAGATATTTATTGACATCCACCCCAAAACAAAGTACACATTTTCGGCGTGGATGAAATTGCGCCTAGCACACAACTGAAATAAACTCAAATGAAGTGAGGCGATGACGTTCTTACGTTAGCAAGACGTGCTTAAAGTGCCGTGCCGTTTACAGCAGTCGACAAAACACACGATACGAGGTCACCGATAATCATCGAAACACTAGGCACTTACCTCCCAAAGCCGTGTCGATTGCGCCGATTTGAAATTCGGCCGGCCGATCCTGTACAGCCAAACCTTCCGGCGAGCCGTGTCGTGCTTACCGGATGGAATGCTAATTAACTTCTTGCCGTCGCTGTGACGGTTGTGGCACCCGCACTCGCAGCACCCCGTCATGGCTCACGACATAACACCCGTCAGAGGCTACAAACGCTACAAACTGACGCCGAGTGAAAAAGGAAACTCCCAGACCCCAAACCAAAACTCCCCAGGCGCGCCATAAGCTGCTGCATTCACACTGGCGGTTTGACTGCGTTTGCGAATGCTGCTGTTTAAATACTTATTACAAACACACGCGCATTTGATGGGGACAACGAGCGGAACAGCAGTGCGATTGCGATTCAAATTATTCAAACGCCAGTGTGAATGCAGCAGCTTACCCGGGCAGTTTGTAGTCGACGGCGGCTGGCTCGGCGGGCCGCTGGAACAAAAATGGCGCCGCAAGGCCTCGAAAAGCGAAAACAACCAAAACAAAACCCGCGCGCAGCGAGCTCCACCTGGTGGACTTCGTTCGTCCAATGAGAGGAGCGGGCGGCATTCTTCAAGAGATGTCGCTACCTTTCAGTATAGCGGGACCTTAGCGCACCCGCACCCTGCCCGCCATCTGTCGCCGCTTGCAGGTGTTTCCTGGCCAGTTGGCTGTGGGGCCACCCAGTGGCGACGTTGCGTACTTTGGTATTTCCAAACCAGTCCAAGGTTAGCGCATGTAGTAGGGCAATAATTCGAAATCGTTATTAAAATGTACACTGTGATACTTGGGTCTCATTTTCTAAGAAATAACATTTCTAAAAATAATTATTCTAGCAGACGTCGTGTGCATTCTTTTAGTCTTCGGGAACCCGGACACCGGCCCCCCGGTTAATAGCATTTACTTTCCGTCGTGTTTCTCTGCACTTACGGGCCTCATGAGGCAACTTACTCCAGAGCAACGCACGGATGTGGTGCTCTGGTACTGAGAGGACAAAAAGCTTCAAGAAGGAATTCGCAGTCGATACCGATGCGAGCGCCGTTGGAGGCTACCGTTCCAAGTGAACCGGCTGGAACTGGGTCCGGCGCTTCGGGAAGGGGGCAGCATCGCCATCAAGAAGCAAATGTTCGCCAGCACGCCGGAAAAGGAGTGACTCTTCTACGGGATTCTGGGAGCGTTCGTAGCGGACCCTCATCTATCGCCCGAGAGAGTGGCACATTTTTTTGGCGTCTTCTGCTTTACTGTGCGTCGCATCGTGCACTAGAACAACATGCGGAGCCTACAGATATCACGTTTTGCATGAGCTGAAGCCTTTAGGAACATTAGAAACGGCTGGACTTCTGCCGGGAAGATGTTCTGAGGAACGGGTCCAACCCCTCCCATCTGAACTTCCTCCCCTTCAAACACGGCACAGACGAGGACTGAGAAAAAAAGAAGCCATTTCTGTAAGAAACTGCCAGCCCCAGAAGACGTCAGATTTTTTAAACACAGACTAATCAGCGCTGTATATACCTAAGGTTTACTATACAATGTTAAAAACAATAACATAGTTCAGATTTTTAATAATAATGCTAAGTAGTTAATATGTAACAAGCCAGCACAGAATGACCGAGGTTCATGACTCTTTTGAGATATCATGACTGACGGGTCTGCGAGCTGTGTTTTGTATTTACAGCAATAATAAAATACGAACCTTACAAACCTTGCAGATTCGGTTCCCTGTTTTACAGCCGATGAGACCACTGAGAAAGTAAGGATTTCTTGTGGAGTTCAATGGTCGCAAACTCATGGGAGAGTATGGGCCAAATACCCCTCATTGGAAGGGTCGAGATTCAACGGTAAACGAGCACTCTTAGAAAAAAGGGTACGTATAGTCCTCCCTTACGGGAGGAACGGTCTTGTAACCTATGTTCCTTTAGAAAGGGAGGAACCTTCGTCCCTGAAGCAGGGGAGCAAAGTTCCTCCGTCGCTTGCATCTCAATATGGCGGCCCCGAATCGAGCAAATGGAGCCCAATAAGGCTTAACGAGGACGCTACGTCTCTTGTACGGGACGAGAGCAGCAGCAAATGAAAGCGTAACACGAGCTTTCCGCAAACTGTGTTTATTTCCGAAGCCAGATTCCCCCCACAGGTACAGAAACCTGCGTTTCCAAAGCAGTTACTCAGTCTTCTCGTCGACAGCACTGCGATGTTAAACGAAGACAACGGATACCCAGTTACTTTGCGCACTTTGCGTCTTACCTTTGGTGTTCCTCGAGTCACAATTCCTTCGTCAACCGCACATCACGGAGAAGGGCAAACTCACTCCCCGAAACCAAAAGCCACTCTCGCAAGACGAACTCGAAGCCGCTGTTTATCGCGTAGCGTGAAAGAAGGTTAAATCGCTAGCCACAAGATGGCGGGGTCAAGCAGAGTAATTGCAAGTAGCCAGGCTAGGTAACGCTAGGTACCGCCCTATTCATGTTCTACAAAAAATTATTTGCTTCTCTTAGGCCACTACTGCGCTTGAGGACTTTCTACTACACACACATGACACCCATACACTTATTACAAGCATCAGGTGAACATACATTAAGCACATGCACTGCACACACAAATATCAATACAACGGAACACCACACTAACCCGAACACTACACCCGTGCTCTGCGTTTCCGTCTTTTATACTGGTCATTTTGAACGTGCGGAACTTTTCGGTGACTCCCTAAGCAATAAAACATATTCGCAGCATGTTGATTCTTTCCCTGCAATGTCATACCTCTGAAAGTATTTTGAATGGCTAGGGGGTTGAATCTCTTATTAAAAAGTAAACAACTCAATCATGCCGTAATTATTTGAAAGCCAATAAATCAAGCCGCTCCAATGCGGTTCGAAGCCATGAGTTTGTTTCCCCACACGGCACGTCGTAGCTTGTATTTCTATTTGTTTTTCTATTTGGGCTGTTCGCGCAAAGCTGCAATTGCCGTTTGAATTAATCTCTGTAGAGCGGATATTCAGTCAGCTGGAAGTGATGCTTCACGGAGTGAGAAATCGCTTTTCGATCAACTTGAATGCAGCCAAAGCCGCGACTTGCGACAGATTTAAGTGTACGGAACTACGCCGTGCGAGCCCGAAAACTTCTAGCGCTCATCCCAGCGCGCCACGGAGGGCAGTTTCTCCAGCAGCCGTAGTATAATTAAGCAGCAAAATAAAGGATAGCTTTTTTTTTTTCGATTTTACCTACTATTGTTTTTAATGCCAAAATTCCATACTGTAAATATACGTACTTTACGTCACGATTTCGTACTGTTCAGTCCTTGCCCCTGAGCGCAATCGCTGTCGGGGACGACACCATTCCGACAGTCACATTGGCCACTGTACGATAGGAGCTTCTACTGTTCAGACCAGCGTTCCAACATGACTATCCACACGTTGATCGATTGCACGTAATCCCTCAAGTGGTATTAAACTTTTTAATGTAAAGCGGAATGTCAACCTGCGACACCCCGCCCCCTCCGATCACAACCCGACCAGCGGCATCAATGCCCAACAGTTTACGTTCTCATCTTCTTGTTAAACCACTGATACGCGAACACATGGTCACATCGGCGATAATTCCAGTCTTCTGTTCACAACCCAACACTGTTATCACGATGTTGCAGCTATGTTGCTGACACGCACAAACACAAAACCACGTTGAACGCCGGTTGCACTCGGCATCGGAAAACAGAACCGAATTGAGGGGGGAAGGCACCCAGGCAGCCGGCAGCAAAACCTGCCTATCTTGGACGCAGTTCCTGCGGTTTCCATAACGTCGAAAACGTCGACACAGTTCCGCGTGCTTTCGCTACTGTAGTCTGTAGTGCTGCAGCCTGCATTGGCTGTAGTTCCGTGCCGGGCGAGTCACGCAATCCGGAGACGGCCATCCCCCAGTGTACGTGGCGCTGCTGGCACTGCTCCGGAACTTCGCTGTTTCTAGCGGCTTCGTTTGCTCGTTTGATAAAATTAGTGATAAAAATGTCAATGCAACCGAAATGTCCTGGACGTTTAAACTGGAAGGCGGAATTACAGGCGGCCTTCGCTGTTGCTGAAGCTCAATCAACTCAACAGCTATTTATTAAACAACGTGCGCGACCTGCTCGAAAAACGAAACCGAAAGATGAGTCGGGAGGACGAAAGCTTTCTCCCGTCTGCCTGGAGAAGGAGAAAAACATTTCGTTCCTCAAATTTTCTCGTGTCCGCTTGGGGGCGCGTCGGTAGAAGGGAGGAAGGCGCGCCGTTGCTGCTTTTTTCCTCCATTTTTTCTTAGAGTGAGGAGGGGGTGGGGGGTGAAAGAATTAAAAGAGAAGAGACCCTGTGCTTTATGCTCTTTGCAAACTCAGTTTTGCAGTGACATCTTTAGCTTCGATTTGTTTATATGTCCGGCTTGGGCCCTGGCTTGATATGGATAACAATATTAACCCACTGAACGCAAAGACGGCTACAAGACGGCTAAAAGACGTCTTGGCAGGATGTACAATACGTCTTGTAGACATCCTGACAGGACGTTATATAGCCCAAGACGTCTTGAAACGTCTTGTAGCCGTCTTCTAGTCGGGCTAACGCCCCGTCTTTCTTGGGCTACAAGATGTCATGCAAGATTGCTTGAAGAACTCTTGAAGACGACTACAGGACCTCTAGATAGGTCTATTTAACATCTTAAAAAGGGATATAAGATGTCTTTTAGCCATCTTTTTCTTAGCTCATGCACCATTATTTTGGCTTACAAAACAAAATGTCTTAAAATTTGTCTTGGCAAGGTCTACAAGGCGTTTTGTAGACATCCTGGCAAGACGTTATATAGCCCAAGACGTCTTGTAGCCGTCTTCTAGTCGGGATAATGCCCAGTCTTTCTTGGGCTACAAGACGTCTTGGAAGATGTCTTGAAGAACTCTTGAAGACGACTACAGCACCTCTAGATAGGTGTATTTAACATCTTAAAAAGGCATATAAGATGTCTTTTAGCCATCCTTTTCCCAGCTCATGCATCATCATTCTGGCCTACACAAAAATATCTTAAAATTTGTCTTGGCAAGGTCTACAAGACGTTTTGTGGACATCTTGGCTAGATATTATATAGCCCGAACGTCTTGAAACGTCCTGTAGCCGTCTTCTAGCCGGCATAACACCCA